CTTTGAGTATTGAACATGACTGTTATTGAAGTTATTATCTTTTTACTGACTAAATAAGAAAATAAATACATCATGATTATTATGATTGTTTAAACTCTTAATCTTGAGATATTTAATGGACATGTGCATATAATAATTGTTACTTTAATTCATCAAAGAGTGAGATTCATTTGATTCAACAAATTCAGTGAATTGGGAGATGACATTATTTATATTGTGAAAATTAATTATTAAAAGAAATCACGTCTCAGTATTTAAATAGGTTGATGATGTCCTCTTGAAAAAGGTTATAAGTTTTGTCAATGTCAAATCTTGCAGGTGGATTCAATTATCTGATATGCCAAATAAGTTGAGTGGTAAAATCTCAAGGATAAAAAAAAGTCAATTGAATATAATTGTTATTAATTTAATTAATTGATGGACATTTGTAATTTTAAACACTGAGAGATTATTAAGCATATAATAATGAGGAGCTCGAAATATAATTTTGATATACTACCCAATAGATCAGTAATAAATTTTTAGTGAACTAACTTATTATTAATGAACAGTAGGATGTTTGTTCTAAGTTGGACATAGGATTCCTAGCCCAATTTGAAACCCAACCCTTATTTATTCTTAGGGTCTTTTCAGTAATATATAAATAAATGCACTTCTTAGTTTTCTCAGCCTTAGACTTTACCTTCACGTTTAAAAGAGGCAAAGAGAGAGAGAGAGAGAGAGAGAGAGAGAGAAAGAGCAACATCGAAAATTTGAAGGTTTGGAGCCCACATTACATTCGAATATTGGTGTGAAAGGATATACGATAAAAGATCGTGAGGTGCTACAAGTCTGCTGTTCGATCTGTATCTGTCTTCGTTCGTGCGGATCTGCTTCTCAAATGTAAATCCTAATTCTACCTTATAGGGTTAATAAATGAATAAATTTTTGTAGTCAATTGCACACACCATCAACAAATTCTTAGAATTTTTGTTCCAACAGTTTTAACCCAATTTTTTTCGTTCTAATATGACACCAGTGATTTTTAAACACAATACTCCATATCCAACCACAAAAAATGGGGTTTGCATCGTTGGGGGTGGTCAGACTACCGCTAACTAATAACGGGCTCCATAGAATAAAGGAGAGTTTGGGAATTATTTTGTATATTATAATGGCATCATGAATTTTTAATGGTTACATTAGTGAACATTGACAACAAAAGTTTATGTGTTACACGCGCAAAAAATTTAAGGGGTCTATATATAATATTCTAAATATGAGAGGTTTAATGAGAAATGTATTTTGACAGCGCTGATTATGCGAATAGAACTAGCTCGTGACATCAAAGTACATTAACTGAAAATTCAAGGTAACTCAAAGTTGGTAATTAACCAAATGAACGACGTCTATGAAATTAGAAAACAAGATCTCTTACCCTATCATACAGTAGCGATAGTGACAAACCTTAGGGGGTTCATATATAATTTATCCAACGCTATGTTCAATTTATCTCATTGCCCCCCTAAACTGTTTGAAAATTTAAATAGTAGCTCTAGTCTTTTTTGTCTTCAATAAGTTAGTGGTCCACTTGTTCTCATAATCTATACTACTAATAAAAGTAACTTAATATAAAAAAATTTTGAATCTATATTATTGATAAAAGTACCTTAATCTATACCACTCTATCATTTCACAATTAAGTATCTAAATTATCATGATATCCTTTTGAATTTTTTTAATTATCTCTAACATCTCTTTTAATTATCTATTCTCTATGTATAAATATTAATTTCTATAAAACTTTTTGATTGACTATATTACCCTTAAAGTATATGCATCCTTATGTTTTCAATAAAATGTATAAAAAACCTTCAAAAATAACCTATGTATTTTCTTTTTCATCGAAAAACTTTAACCTTTCATTTCTAAAATAAAAAACAATCGTATATGTAGTTTTTTAAAATTAATTCATGTTATATCAGTATAATTATTCGTCACACTAAACTTTATAAAATGTATTAAGATTTTATGTGAAAATATATATTTTAATTTATTTTAATAAAACTTGAATTTTCTTAGAATTTTAATATTGTAGAATTTGATTTTTTTTAAAATTTTTAGATTTTTTAGAGTAATCTTATCCCAATTCACCTAACCAATTCCTAATTATAGTAAAGTTATAATATGATTAATATATTGATAATTACTTTTATTTTATTCAAGTAATTATAAAGGGAATCCTAAGAAAATGAATTTCAAAAAATTTAATTTCTCAAACATCATTAAAAAAATCAATCTCAATCACAAATTTTTTTAAAAAATAAAATTTTAACTATTTTTTTAAGTCTTTTTTATTATAGTTAGAACAAAAAATTTTGGGAACATACATAATTTTTATAATGCTATAACATAATATGAGCAATAAAAATTAAGTTTGATAAATTAGAAATGATATTTAGTTCAGATACACATATACCTAATATATTTTATTAATTTTGTGTACAAAAATTATTCAAGTGCAACGAGCATTACTAGTCTACTAAAACAGGTGTTTTTATTATTAAAATATGTATGTTTGATTCATTAACTCTTCGTATATATTAGTCAAATACAATATCTCTCTTGTTTTATATACTGTCTCCTATTTTTTAAAATTATTGCATAATAACATACGAATAGATACAAAAGAAAAGTTATGCTAACCCATGAGCATTTATGACATTCCAAAAATATCAATTTCTCAACAAGATTAAAAAAATACTTAAAAATTTATCATAGAATTGATCAATTATAGACATTATGAAATTTGAAACAACATAACCCTTCCAAAAATATCAGTTTTTTAACAAAGTTAAAAGAAAATTGCTTAAAAATTTATCATAGAATTGATTATTTATAGACAATTATTGAGATTTTAAACAATATTGTTGTGAAGCTTTTTAATATATGATTGAGTTGAACTTTAACGCTAAAAAAATTATTATTCTTGTTTGTTCATATTTTGTTAAATGCTAAATTGATTTGTATTTCAATTTTTGAATAGTAATTATGTGTTGCATGTTAATATGTTTCTCATAGTTGAACTTTAAAAAAAAAATACAAAATTTATTTAATCCTTATTACTAGAGGTGGGGGATAATTTTTTATACCAGTTGATTAATTTTTTTTCATTTATATTTTTGCCCTTACTAGGACATAATCCTAACTCTGCCCCTGACAACATTGAATAATTGCAATTTAAATATTGCATCTGTAGATGAGAAGTGCTCGCATTGAAGATGAAGAAGCCTAAAAAGGTAGCACACCTCTGAACAGCAGACTAAAATAACAAGATTTATGCCATCCGACCAAAATGACTAAAAAAAGACTTTGCTGGGGCAGTTTTTTTTTTTTCTCGTTCACTTTTATGCCATTTTCACTTTCCATTATATTTTGCTTTCTAATTGAAGGGACCGGGAATGATTAAGCAAATTTCCATGGAATATATATATATATATATATATATATATATTTTTTTTTTTTAGTACGCTCCTAGGACATAGTTTAGGAAGCATAGACATGCGCAAAACTTGAGCAAAGTAGTATGCTTTTGGTATATGGATTAATGTTCAATGTAATTTCACAAGCACAACAGCAGCAACAGGATACAATTTATCAGAAGGCCAAACAAGTCAATGTTCTCTCCTACATCCACTATGGTTGATAAAAACTACCCCTAATTCTACAGCCAACAACCTCCAGTCGACATCTGTAGCAAGTACAAACGCGTTAAAAGCAACTCAAAATAAGGGTTAGTTTCTAAGATCCTAAAAATATACAGGTATGAACCAGACACTTCCAGTTCAAAAAATAAAAAAAATACTAGACAGTTGGGGGCAAGGAAGATGGTACGAGGTACGTGTGCCATTAAACATATTAATCTGGGTCAATCAAGTAGCCTCCCACTCCCACCCCACACCACCACCACCTAAAAAAAGGGGAAAAGGAAACCCAGCTCCTTATCCAGTCTAGCCCCAAAATACAAGTTAAAACCAATGTCAGGTGAATCAACGGATATGAGTAATCCATTGAACTTGAAGATCTTCCAAGGTAAACTGAAGACATAGAGATGCCAAGAAAAATATGAGTAGCATAACTGAAATGGTTCCCATCAGAATCTTAAACTTCAGAGAACTAAAGAGAGATGACCTACCTCGCCATTGCAGATTATCATTTGCATTGGCAAATGAAGAATCAGACTAGAAATAAGAAGCACAACACAGCCAACAAACTCAGTAAACCAACAAACACAAAGATCATCAGAAAGAAACTGCACATCCTTCACTAGGCTTTCACAAGGTACCACCTACACTATTTCTGTGATGCCATACAGATGATGGTCTTGAACCAATCCCCAAAACATTTAATATGACGGTTAGCTAGTTTGTTTACTTGTACCATAGCGGTTCGAGCTAGAGTGGCTAATACTATCCAACGTTGCCCCAAACACTCTTCGATCGTAATCATCTTTGTTGTCATCATAAGGTGATCTACATACATTAGGTTGGTGTAATACACCAGAGGGAACTGGCACAGAATAGAATAAAATGATGTTAAGCACACTGGAAAATGGACAAACCCGAAAACATGAAAAAGAAACTTCCTTATTTAAATGTACATAAATGGACAAAATAATAACCTCCCAAAAAAACACACATCACCTTGTGCATAATTTATTTGGTGTGCTGAAAACCTGCATGATGTTGAAAACCTCTCAGAATGTGGAGAAACTTCCAGATTGTTAGAGAAGAATTTGACGGAAGCAGGGTTGCCATAAATGAATTCGGTGAGGGCTTGTTTTGCTCAGAAATCTGTTTTCAGAGGTCACAAGTCATTAAGTATTCTCAGTAGAACAATACAAGTCCAGGGTTATAGAAATCAAGTACTTTAGCTAGATCAAAACATAGAAATCAAGGGCATACTGCAAATTTCAGTGTTCGGTTACAGAGAGTCACAAGGCCAGAGAAAAGCCTGACGGCTTAGTCTGCGACCTCTTCAGTTTCGTATTCTGCAAATGCATAGCCTTTTGGACGATTGGTTTCCTTATCTCGGGGAATATACAAGTCCACCACACGCCCTGCTTGAATGAGAATATCATATAACACCCTATCACTCACTTTCTCATCCAGATTACCTACATGAAAAGAATTTCGAATCCAAGTTAAAAGATCATGTATGTATATAAAAAACCATGAATAATAGAACCAGTCAGAAGTTGGATTAGTAAGATGAAATGTAGGTGCCTGGAACTATGTGTTTCTTGTGGCTGAATTAGAGTAAGCAAGTCCGATGACGCTGGAGGCCATAAAAATGTATATCAAAGAAAGATAATTCTTTGCAGAAACAAGAGGTTTCATATAACAAACATACACAAGGGTCATTTACTACATACAAAAAATCATTAACAAATTGAATGTAATCATTACTGCCCATAGTGACATAAAACTTAGCAATGTGTGTGCATAGTTGTGCATATATGTTCATGAAATGGGAAATTAATGCTGATACATTCAGTTTAAAAAACCTCTCACCACTTGAGGGATAAATGAAATCAAGAGGAGCCATAACAGAACCACTGACCATATCAAGCCATTAATCTAGCCACAAAAATTTCAAACAACTGTTGCAATCAATTAAAAAGGAAAAAAGAAACTTACTAACAACCAAAGCACCAAAAACATCAGGTAGTCAATCTCACCCAATGAAGAAAACAGACTGCAAAAAAAGATTTATATTTCTAATAACTAGATGTCACAAGACTTCATTACAAGAAATTTAGATATCATTGGATTCATGATGTCTTGAATGAAAAGTTGTTGCAACTTGAAAAAGTTCATACTGAAGATAATACTTTGGATATGTTGACTAAGGCATTGACTAAGGACAAGCATGAGAAGTGTCGACTTTTGGCGGGAATGGTCGAATCTTCCACATAAGTCGGGAGGGGTGAGAATTGTTGGGTTTCCCTCCTTTGTGGGATCCATCTATTTCCTAAATATAGTTTTTGTTAATTTTGGCATGCACCTTGGTCAGCACATGGCTTTAATTTTGGTGGCTTACCCATGCATGACTCTTGGCATATCCAAGGCTTGGTTGGTTTGGAGTCTTCAAGTTAAAGGATTTTGGCAGCCACCAAAGACTACAAGTTTTTGTCATTTTTCTTTGGTTCATCTCTTCTCTGTTGGTTTGGCAAGAAGACATTTTTTCGGCAGTCTTTGGTTCAACAAAAATTCAGTCTTCTTCTTCTCCATTTTTGGTGCTACAAAAATCGGCAATTTGTTCTTCAAGTGAGTAACATTTCTTCACTTGATATTTGGGGTTTCTTGCGGTCTGCTTTTGGAGATTTGGGTTACTTATTTTGTGAGGTATTTTTTCTCTTGTGATTTACACCTTGGTGTGTTTGTAAGGCTTATGCCTTTTGGCCACTTTGTAAACTTATTTGGTGATAGTGGAAGAAACTGACCTACCGGTCGTCGTGGACGTACCTCAATTTGAGGGAACCACGTAAATCTTGTGTACTAATTTATTTTATGTTATTTTATTTATATTGCTTCCATCGATTTACACTTGTGGGAAAGCCTATTCATTCCCAACAATCTAGACTCTCCACCCATTTCTTTTCCCAAAGTTAACCTCATGTGCTCAAGTCCTCTTCATCAAATGAATCGCCTAATGATGGCAAGAAACCAACCTATCTTTTCAAAGTGCCCTCCATCACTATTTTCCCTTAATCCAAGGCCCATTCTTTCATCACATGAATTCATTTTGTTACTGAATAAAGTTGTGCAATTCCACTAATGAGCATACATGGTACGAGGGTTAGTGCAGCCTATGAATGCCACCGCCCTTTATAAACCTAAATTACTCCATTCTTCGTTCTGCTCGTATTCCAGTAAGAACATAATATTCTACTAGTGAATTTTGGAATAACTAATTGCTGGCAGAGTACTCAATCTGACCAAAAAAAAAGATACTATAGAATTTATTTCCTGATCAAGACCAAAAAAGATTATAGAGTCTAATATTTCAGCCCAAGTTGTTTTCCAAAAACATACACGCACAGACACACACACACCCATGTGCACAAGAACAACAAAAAAAAATGCCAAAGTCCACCTACTAAGCAATCGATCTTTTTTATGCAAAAAGGCAAAATAAGGGGGAAAACCCTTTTAACAATAAAAATCAATGCCATCCAATATATTATATTGTGATTTTTTAAAGTTAGTATCATAACTAAAACTAGGTAATGACCCCACCCCTCCCACCGCACAGGATCAAACTAGGTGATGACCCATTATTAGATTAGCAAATCAAAGAAAATTCCGAGGTTCATTAACATAAGGCTAAAATTAAATACATAAAACTATACAAAGGATATTTGTGTACCTACAAAAAATTGAATTCATTTGTATTAACTTATGTAATCGATTATTTATGGTCAATCAACACCCTTAGGTTCTCCAAAATTCTAAAAGTTTTACTAGTTTGCACAATTTCTCTGTAAAAATTAAAGTAGAAAAAGGCGCAAGCTAAGCGAATAAAAATCAAAGCAGATATCAGCCTGAAACTTGCCAACGTAAACAGTACAATAGTGGTTGGCAGGCATGATTGATAGATAGCTAGAGAGAGAGAGAGAATCAAAATCTGTCGATAAGAGTTGGAGAGAGAAGAGAGTTTTGAACAATATTATCAGACTCAGACCGGTTCAACCATAAATCGGGACCCTAACCGGTTCGGTTCCTTAGTTGAACCGCTTAAGGAATCGAACCGGCTAAAAACCGAAAATCGGCCGATTTTTAACAAAAACCGTGAACTGCCGATTTTATAAAAATCGAATGGTTTAATGTCTATTTAAAAATTAAATTACATAAATAAATTTTTTTGCCCTAAATCAGTAAATAACTGATTTTTTTTAACCTTATTCTTGGATAAATTATAAATGACACTCTTTCTTTTTCTTTATAATTTACTTGAACCTTTTTACTTTGCTTTAAAATATAATAACCTCCACTTTGTTACTTAATTTCATTAATTTTATGGCAAATTTTATGTATTTTATACATATTTTATATTTTTAGCTAAATTATTAAGTTTTATAATTATTATATATATTTTTTTATTTGTTTATTATATGAACGGTCCGACCAGTTGACCCAGCGGTTGAACCAGTGAACCATTGACCCGGTCCCCTTGCCGGTTCGATGACCGGTCCGGTTTTGATAACATTGGTTTTGAAGAGGTGGATGTTGTAGATTCAGTACATATGTATTTACAAAAATAGCCTTCATCCCAAAAAAAAAGAGAGTAATATACACCATGGGGGTGGGGGTATAGGTTTCATCTCTGTACCCGCTTTAAAAAATTTCGTCTATTATTCGTTCACCTTAATTAACGAGTATAGTTTTTATCCTCATTCTTATTCGTAGGTAAATTTGTAATCCCCACCCCCTGCCCTATCCCCCGTCTTCACCTATGCCCCCACCCCTGTCCACCTTACCTGCCCAAGTCCAAGTCAATATAATCTAAAATTATAAATAATGCAACATAATTAAAAGTTTGTCATTTACAACATAATATAATTAAAACCTTGACTACAACATAATCCAACATAATATAATTAAAAGTTTATCTCTCTTACAAATCTAATACAATATTTTTGCAACACAACATAATGTAACATAACATAATTTAACATGAAAAATATATAAAAACTCAAAGATCTACACTTTTACAAGCCAAAACTATGACAAAAAAATCAAAAAATAAATCATTCAATAATATGTAAATTTGTATTCACATCAACATATATGTGTGTGTGTATATATAATAATAATAATAATAATAATAATAACGGATAAAGCGGGGGTAAATGGTGGTTCATCTCCGCCTTCATCCTTGTACGGGTTTATATGAGTATCTCCGTATATGTCCACCGTCCAATACGTATGGTTCATCTCCAGTCCAAACGGGATAAATTTGGATGAATACCCATTTTTTTCCGGTCCACTGTCATCCCTCTATGGGAGTGTTTGAAAATTACCCGGTGCTATTTGGATTTAAATTCCAAATCTATCCACTGAAATTTCAATAAGTTGGCTATAATATTGGATTAGAGAATTTAAATTTATTAAATCCTTGATTTGAATAGTAATTTATGATATTGTGAGTCCCAACCGTCTTACTCTTGAATATTATTCAAACTTATCTCATATTTGGTTTGACAATTCTTGGTTACCACTTTAATATTGAATTGAAAATTTATAACTAGTTAATTATTGTAAAAATTAACAACTCACACAAGTACATAAAAACAGTTGAGAGTAACTAAAATATGAAAAAAAAAAAAAAAGTGAGAAAACTACGGTGTGTGTCAAAGGTCAATACACAATATTCAGATGAGATCATAAACAATACTCACAGCTGAAAAACCTACGTGGAAGAGTTATCAATAAAAATAACATTCACAACCCATTTGTTCCTATGAATCTCAAGACTAGTTGAGATTACATATTTGTAATTTTAATCAAGCGTTACTTTATACAAAAAAAACACAATAAAGGCAAGATCATTGTTATTTACTTGAATTTACTATACAAGTAATATTAAAAATTCCTACACCTTCGACAAATATCTTTCTTGCACGCCTTGGGTTAGGAGAACCTTGAATACTACCATTTTTTTACTCATTGTGCTCTAGTCATCCCATGTAATTGCCATTGTTTTGCCTCAACCTAAATAACAAGAACTCAATAATGAAAGCCAAGCTCAAAAGTGAATAACTTTAGCCTGAAGTTATGACTCAAATGCAAATAGAAGAGAGGTTGGCTTTTGGCGGGACTCTAGGTGGCTCAGCGGCCCCTAAACTAACACATATAAAAATTGAAGCCGTTATAGAGATCAAAGGATGCCGAGGACTCGAGCCGAGAGATCACGACTCAAAGGCGTCGAGTGAATAACCTGACACCCGCATTAAGTGTGACTTGACTAGTCATTTTATGGCGATGCAAGTGATGGAGACAGTAACATTAATGAGCCCCCATGTCCTCAGAACCTAGGTCTGCAGTCATGATGGCTAAATATTAATGGCTATTATGCTGAGTATATATCCCCGGAGGTCCCCGAGGTACTGTT